TATGGAAATTGTCCATTTAAGTGAAATTTTTTTTTACAATTAGTTATGAAATTTGTTACTATTGCCAAAAAGTTTTTTAAAAAAAATTTGCTCGAAAACTATTTTTTCATCAAAATTTAGTATTCGTTTGACTTTGTTTTACATTAAAATTGTCTATTAAATTGAAATTTATTTTTATAACTGGTTATGAAATTTGTTTTCATTACAAGAAAATAAAAGGAGCAGCAGCCAGCTAGAATAGTTTTTCCCACCAAAATGGGGGGGGGGGGGTGGGAAATTTTTTATTGGCCAAATTTCTCCTATCAAGCACTTCTTTTGCATGGAAATAAAATTTTTTTTCCATTTTTCAAGGAAAAAGTTGTGTATCAAACACAACGTTAGGGTCCGTTTGATTGTAAGGATGGAAAATGGGTGGAAAGAAAATAAATTTCAAGGAAAATAATTGTCTAGAAAATATTTTGTAGGGAATTGTTAATTAAGGCCATATTTGGTACACATTATTTTTTTATTCTCATTCTTCTACTCATTTTCAACCATACATTTTTCAATAAAATAATATTTTCCATCACATCAATAACTTTTCTTTCATTTTTAACCACACATTCTCCATAAATTTACTATTCNTTAATTTAGGCCATGTTTGGTACACATTAAAATTTTCATTCTCATTCTTCTACTCATTTTCAACCACACATTCTTCAATAAAATAATATTTTTCATCACATCAATAACTTTTCCTTCATTTTTAACCACACATTCTCCATCCATTTACTATTCAATAATACATTCTTTCAAAAAAATGTGTCCCAAACATACTTTAAGTGTGTTAGATTGGTATAATTTTTTGGGTGGAAAATTTTTAAATTTTGTGTTCGTTTGGCTTAGTTTTACATGGGAATTGTCCATGAAAGTGATATTTTTTCCACAATTGGTTATAAAATTTGATTCAAATGCCAAAAAGTAAAATAAAAACGAAATTTTTTTTCTAAAAAAATCATTTTTTTCGTTAAAGTTTAGTATTCGTTTGACTTTATTTTACATATTAAAATTGTCTATTAAAGTGAAAATTTTTTTATAACTAATTATGAAATTTGTTTTCATTGCCAGAGGGTAGGGGAGGGGCCACCTAAAAAAGCTTTTCCCACCTAAAAACAAGGAACGAGGGCACGTGGGGTGGGGGGTGGAAAATTTTTTCTTGACCAAATTTCTCCCATCAAACACTTCTTTTGCATGGAAGTGGATATTAAATACTTCTTTTGTTGTGTTTGATAGTTTAGCAAATCAAGACCTTTGTAATGTACATGTCCGTTGAATTCTATCAACTTCGTGGCACAGATTTTCCTCATTATTATAAGAATTTGAGATATCCCATAATACAATGGGGAAATTAGACTCTGTTTGATTCGCCTTATTTTTCATGGAAAATGAAAAATTTTGAACTTTTATAGTGTTTGATAGGAAAAATTTTCTCGGGAAATTTTTTTCCACATTTTCTCATTTTCCACTTTTTTGAGGAAAATAAATCTTGATGTTTTGGTGGGAAAAAAAAATTTCCAGTTTTTATTTTTATTTTTTTGCAATTGGGAAAAAATCTAGATACAATGGTAAAAAAAATTTATCACTTTTCTTGACAATTTTCATTCAAAACAAAGTCAAACGAATGATATTAGGTATGATAATTTTTTTTTTCAATT